CCCCCACCCCTGCAAAAAAAATATAAAAATTTATATTTTATGGCAAAATTTAAATGATTATCAACAGGGGTGTTGATCATTTCTTGCATACCTGCGTGTGTTTTAACCGTTACACAACAAAGACTAAAAGTTCTAAGAGTTGGTGGATTTTTTATGTCCTTATCAGCTAATGTAGTTTGACTTAACTACATGGTTAAGTCACAGGGTAAACCTTTTTGTTGTTGTTTACCTGTTTCATGTTGAAAAGGGCAAACAGACCCTTACCTCTAAATCTACTGATGGCCTCCTATTGTACTCTGTTTTTTGTTGTTTTTTTTCTTGCATTTTACCATTTTATTTTGCTTTTAAAATCTAATAACAAACAAGAAACGGAAACAAATATATAAATAATAAATAAAAAAAACAATTCAGATGATTTTATGTAAATATGTTTATTCCAAACCTTTTGTATTTCTCTTTCAGATGTTACAGTAATTGGCAAACTATCGTAATAAACTACAAGCAAACAGTTTTTCATGAAAACAGCTTTGTCATTTGACCTTGTTTTAGTTTCATCATGTTTCTTTAGCAGGCAGCAAACATTGTCACTCAACCTGTTTGTAGAGATTCTTTCACATTGACAAGCAAAACCAGATTAACTTAACTCTTTTTTCCTGCTATCTTTGGAGTTACTGTAAGCACTTATGACATTTGGAATGAAAAATCATCTTAACAGGTCACTGTTTTAATTATACAGAGTGAATATTTAGAAATAAAACTATACAAATCATTTAGTCCTAAAATGCAATTACATTTGAAAAGATAAGTAGAGATTGCTCTGTTGTTATGAGTTATACATTTCAGTAAAAAAAAAAAAAAAAGATAAAGAAACATAAAAGCTGTGTTTTTTAATACAAACAACATCTCTATGTGTTTATAAACCGAGGAGCAAATACCAAACATTTAACAACATGAATCATTCTGACAGTATGAAACTACAGAATACCATAGATGATTTGCTCATTTTTGCTCATTTTTGCTGCCAGAGTTTCTGTCTGGATCTCCAGATTGTTCCAGCTGCTTGAACCTGGCTCATCTTCAACAGTCTTACTGTATCTCTTCACATCTCTACTGGTCTAAACGTAGGCCTTGCTGGAATCCACAGAGCGAGCCTTGGAGTACCTAACATCATAGTTGTCTTCCTTTGGAGGGCAGGTGCTACAGAGGAGCCCACCAGCGATGAAAAGCAGTCCAGCAGTGCCCCAGCCAATGTAAAGGGAGGCCCCAAGTTCCCTCTTCTGAGCGTTGATCAGAGTTGGGTTGTAGAAATTCTGAATGATTGTGTTGGCGGTCCAGCAGACGGGGATGAGGACCAAGAAGCCTGCGACAATAAAGAAGACACCCGCGGCGATGGCCACTTTGGCCTTTCGAGCTTCCTCTGGTACGAAGTTGGTGCACTTGCCTCCCACGACGCCCAGCATGATCCCAATGACTGCAACGAGGATGGCGATGATAGTGAGTGCTCTGGCAGCCTGCAGGTCTCTATCCAATTCAAGCATGGAATCATAAACCTTGCACTGCATTTGTCCTGTGCTCTGAGTCACGCAGTTCATCCACAAACCCTCCCATATGACCTGAGAGGTGACGATGTTAGCGCCGATGAACGCCGTGACTCTCCAGGTTGGGAGGGCACAGGTGATGATGGCCCCCAAGAAGCCGATTATGCCTAAAGCCATACCCAGGATCTGTCTTCCACCGGCCACCATGTTGAAGCTGTTGTCTTTACAAATCAAGTAGTTTCTTCTTGCGCGCTGGAGAAATGTGTCTGTCGCAAACTGGGTGGGTAGTGGCTTTGGTTGCTGGTTTTAATGAGACAAGAGGTCAGAGGAGGAGTTTGTGTTGACTTTGAGCTGAAACTGGTTTGTGAACATTCTCACTAAACCTGATCTTCACAACATCAATGAGTTTCGGAGCTTCAGTGAAAGACAATGGCAGAACAGCTCAGAAGACACAAAACAAGACACTCTTAGTGCAATGCTGTGTTAGTTTTGCTCATTAAATTTTATTTTAAATCTTTGATAACATTCTAAAAAATGCAATAATTACAAAGTTGAAACTTTGGCATTACAAGCTAAGAGTGTCACTCTGTGACCAATGCAGAAACAATGCACCTGCACTACAGCAATCCTGGTTTCACTCTGAGTTTCTTTGTTATTTCTCTACATCAACTATTTTTTATGTGTTTTTACCAAAAAGGCATGTCTTTAATACTTCTGATGAAATTACATCAAGTTATACAAACAATATAAAACACTTGAAATATGTTTCCTGTTGGAACATTTAAAAATGACCTAAATGTCTAATCGATACTCACTGTAATAACATGAAGGTGTCTGAGTGAATACGTCACAACTTTCAGCAGGAACTGTTTACACTACATTCAGGTCACATAATCCTTTATTCCTTCCCTAAATTCCTCCTTTTATTAGCGAAATTTATACCTGATTTTAGTGAAAGAAAAACTCTGCATAGAGATTTACTCTGCTCTTTGTCCATCAGTCAAGGCATTATTCTTAACAAATAAAGGTAGCTATTGCGGTAGATTTGTGGATAAGTGGCTTACTTTCATAGAATGATGCAAAAGTTTCTGGTTAATATTTTAGGTCTGTTACTTTAACTAGACCAGTCGTAATTGGGGACAGAAGACACATCGACTGGCTGATATTTTTGGCAGATATGAGCATATTTCTCTTGTACCCATATAAGCCGATATGTGCATGTGATAGGTGATTCATCAGTCATGCTTTAAGATCATGTGATTTACA